GAATGAAATCCCTCCCCTTTTTTCCCCCCCCCCCCCCTTTAGCCTACTTAAGAATAGACCCCCCCAGCTAAGCAGCAATAAAATTATCATCTTATAATTAAGATGATCAGTATTAAATACTCTGGGCGCACGTGCCCTGGTAACCAAACACTATAGGCGCACCGTGCCCTGCTAATCAAACACTCTGGGCGCACCGTGCCCTGCTAAACACTCTGGGCGCACCGTGCCCTGGCAAACACTATGGGCGCACCGTGCCCTGGCAATCAAACACTATAGGCGCACCGTGCCCTGGCAATCAAACACTATGGGCGCACCATGCCCTGGGAATCAAATACTATGGGCGCACCATGCCCTGGGAATCAAATACTGTGGGCGCACCGTGCCCTGCCAAAACATTTTTGGCGCACCGTGCCCTGCCAAACATTTTTGGCGCACCGTGCCATGGGAATCAAATACTGTGGGTGCACCATGCCCTGGGAATCAAATACTGTGGGCACACCATGCCCTGGGAATCAAATACTCAAATACAGTGGGGTCACCCCCACACTACAAGGGTTAGCTGCTCGATTGTGTCTAGGGAGGAAAGATATTAAAAAAGTTATACTCCCCCAATCCTCAGAGCCAGCTTGTTCTTAGATCGGTCCTTCCAACCTTTCTCCCCCTCCACTGCAGCAGTCTAAGGATCCTTGAGTCATCACATCCTATACACCGTGTATAGGATGTGAGGACGCAGAGGGATATACCATCACTGCAGTGGAGGAAGAGACAGGCAGAAGGGAGCGCTTTCATAGCCGGCTGGCTCCGAGGTTCAGGCGAGTTTGTCTTTTTTTACTTTCTTCTCAAGACACAAATAAGCAGTTAACCCTTGCAATGCAGGGGCAGCCCCACTGCAGGGGTTATTATAAGTTTCGCCCAGAGTCCTTCTTTAAATCTGCACTTTATACGCTCTGCTTTTGGCACTTCCCTTTTTGCAAACCCAATTCCTGCTCAAGGATGACATTGCTGTCTATGCCCCCACGAGGAAGATTTCCTTTCACTTCCTGTCCAGACAATAGGAGGTCGGATAAAACAGGAAGTGAAGAAAAATCCCAACGGGCACAGAGGCACCAATAAATACAGAGCAGGAACTGCGTTTGCAAGGAAAGCCGAACGTATAAAAAGTCTGAATTTCGTTTTATTTACACCTTTGTGTTAGATTTCAGGAAGAAAGAGGATGGATCGGGGAAGTGAAAGCAAAGCACACATTGTTACACAACCGCTAAATGCATTTCCTCTCTCACAGGAAGACTGAAACAAAGAATAATAACACTACTACTGCCTAGAGGGACCAATCCCATGTACTGCTTCACAGAGAGGGAGAGGTAAAAGTAACAACAAACCCAAAATGTTTTTGCACATAAGCCCACCAAAGACGCTAACAAAGATTGTTTTTCCTCATCATGTCCCCAATTATTTATTTTTTTAAGCTAAACTCCAACTTTACCTTTTTTCCCCACTCTTGTAGCAAGTTCTCTCTTATTACTCTCAATTACCTGTAAACTTGCATCTCCACTATTTAACCCTGTGAAGCTGCAGCAGATATCTTAAGCCCGCCTTCATTTATTGTCTGAACGCTTTCAATCACCATCAGCCTCCTCTACTCCTAATCCATACGATCGTTGGCCTCTCTCTCTCTCACAGCTATTAGCTTTCCCTGCCATCTATCATTTTGTTCCAGAGCTTTATGTGAAAGAATGCATCCCTTACCTGCAACCAGCCAACTAATCAGCAGGGGTGGGCAACTCCTGCCCTCTAGCTGTGCTTTAACTACAAATCCCAACATGCCTTTCGGCTCTGGGAGTCATGTCTGATGGGCCTCATTCACACTGGAATCGGCCGGCATGTACAGCTCCGTGCACGGCCGTATCGGGCAGCTCCCGGGAAGGACAGGTGCTTCCTGTGATTAGTACGCAGCCACTGTCCTTCTCTATGGGAGTACGCGGCCATACGCCGCCCTACGCTCACCCCAAGTGCAGGTCCGTGCGGGTGCGTGTGTCCCGGCTCGGACGCAGACAGGATCCATCCGGTCAGCGTACTAGTACGGACACCCGCACCGATGTGCAGGGCCAGTGAGCGTAAGGCGGCGTACAGCCGCGTAGTCCCATAGAGAAGGACGGGGGCTGCGTACTAATCACATGCAGCACCTGTCCTTCCCGGGAGCTGCCCGATACGGCCCTGCACATGCCGGCCGATTCTCGTGTGAATGAGGCCTTAAGGCCGCGACACACTGCACGCGAAGCAGCGCGCCTTTGCGAGCAGTGTGTCATGTCACTTTCTTCTCGGCACCTCAGCTTGCGAGAGCTCGCAGAGCTGAGCGTGCCGAGATGAACAATTTTAACTTCAGCCAATCAGCTTGCGCGTATAAACCGGCGCGACGGGATGCGACGTCTGGCCGGTTGTTACAGACGAGCCGATTGGCTGAAGGTGCAGTCAAGAGCTCCGTGCCGGAGAGCTTTGCTTCGCTCTGCACGGCTTCGCATGCAGTGTGTCACGGCCTTCACTCTCATTCTTGCAAAGCCTCATGGGACTTGCAGTTCCACAACAGCTGGAGGGCCGGAGTTGCCCATCCCTGATCGGAAGGGTTCCTGGGAAAGTGTTCTTTCATAGAATTCTTTTGAAAACTATCCAAGGCAGGGTGCTGTGATTTTTGCAGGAGGCCTCTCCCACCAAAACTCAGCAGAGGGACCCGGTGATGACGTCACTGGGTCTCAAAAGAGGTATTTTCTTGAGAACAAAATTATTTGATTAAAACGTATGAATTGCTCGTTGATGGGGTGGCAAAGGTAAAGTATTCTATTTGTACACTACATTTCAGCTTTGGGTTTTTGTAGCCCAACACTTGGTATTCCTCAGTGACACTGCCCCGAAATAAAGTCACATGTCCGCGTACATTGTACCTACGCATCCCATCATGCCTTGTGCACAAAGCACACGTCTGCCCTATGTACTCCTCAGCTTTGAGCTGCCTGTTCCTGTTGATGTGTGACCAGGATTGCACACAGAGGTGGCTACGCTGGGGGTCCCTGCAAGGCAGCGTGGGCACCCTATAGACAAAAATGAAGGGGGAAGAGATATTTTTAATACCAAGTTTGAGGGCCGGTGCAGACCTGCGCGATATCACGCAAAACACAGATTCGCACTGAAGTCAATGGAGGCAGCTCACACCTTTGTGGTTTGTCGCGCGATAAGGTACAGGAGCAATTTTCGGCCGATTGTCGTGCGGTTTGGGTCCCATAGGCATCTCTATGCATTGAAAACCGCATGGTTTACAGTGAACAGTCACGCGAGCGAAAACAGCTCAGCATCTGAAACGCCTAGGTGTGAACCTAGCCTGAAGAAATGACAGACTGCAATGGAAAACTGACCTGGAACCCATATAGGAGATGAGATACAAAACCTTTTCCCTGCAACAAGAAACATTGTAACGCTTTCAGATATCATTGGCAACAATTTTGGTTTGCGTCCATATTCAGCCGCACAGTCCACTGAGGCTCCAGTAATGATGTGCACGGCATTACTCAGAGGCGGCTCACACAGAAATTTGATGTGGATTAAGGTTACACTGAGCCAGCCGGTCCTGCTGTGCTACACAGAGCTCCGGAATTGCAGCTGTTGCTTGCCCTGACCTCACACAAGCCATCTTGAGGTGACCAGGTGACCCCAGACAGTGACACAAGGACACAAGTGTGTTGGTCCGCAGCAGGGGAGTGAAGGAGGTTCAGATAGATTCCTATTATATTTAGCATTACAACACGAATCTACAGCTTCGAAGGGCATAGCTAGAACAAGACCATCAAGCAAACTGTTCCGCGTCATATTGCCTATTTTGGTGGTCCGATTCCATGTAACTGTTTTCAAACACAACAACAAAACTGTAATATATTGGGTTGCTGGGACTAGGTCAAGAATCACCCAAATCATCCCTCACAATCGGGCCAGATTGACAAATAAAATGGTGTACTTGGCCATCTGGTACCCTTGGTCTGAAAATTTCCTTCCACTTGGGTTTGATACACAAGTCCTGAATCTCTGACCGGTGCTGTGGCCATGCTCTTTACCGTTCCACCGGAACCTTAACCTACAACATTAAATAACAATTGAACATGTGTGAACAGGCAGGCCCTTTATCGCAGGCAATTTTGGCATTTGCTGGAATGAATGAACTCCTGCACATGAGTTATGTCCTTCGGGCATGGCCAATCAAGATAGCCCACTGAGAGAGGTTATGAAGACTTAGGCAAGCTGATAGAAACTCTCGCTGGAACCAACACAGGGCTGCGGGCATTTTGCTCACCCCCATGTGACAGTGCTGGGTGTTTGGGCATCCAAAACTGCCAGCAGCTCTATCACATGGAAGAGAGAGAAGCAAGTCACATGTTCCTCCATACCCAGAAGCACGGTTAACCTACCTGCATGTTTCTGGGTTGTGGCTACAATCACAGCATCAGGTGGAAACTTTGACATCCACAGCAGAATGGATAATGAAATGTGCACACAGTATTTTTTTCAATGCAGCACACCGTAACCATGCACTGTGGTGTGCTGTACA